GGGGCCCGGCTGAGGGCCGCGGGTGTTCGGCTGCTCCTCCTTAGTTAGGGAGCGTGGAGAGCGCGGCCTGGAGAGCGCGGCCGGATGGCTGGCTCGCCAGCGGAGCTTCGTCTCTAGAGTTTCTTGCCTGTGCCTTCAGAAGTCTCTCACTGGGCCTAGCTTTTCAGCTTATTTTGCTTACGTGCGTTTATTTTTAACGACTGGAGGCTTGCAGGTGATGGGAAGCTTCTGCTTCTAGGTGTAAGATGTTGGCATGGTCAGAGCAATACCTGTGTTTTCTTTAGCATTACTGCTGGAGGTGTAATGGATGTTAACACCGCCCTGCAAGAGGTGCTGAAGACCGCACTTATCCATGATGGCCTAGCTCGTGGTATTCGTGAGGCAGCCAAAGCCTTGGACAAGTAAGTGTTGTCCTGTGTTGTCTCTGCTGTGTAACTGGATGAGGTGTGTTGTGATGAGGTATGTGAAACACATACAGTGATCACTTTTTACAGATATTTAGTTAAAAACTTTTGAAGATGGTGTTTTTCTGCTAATGGATGGTCATTTGCTGTCTCTGCTTTGGCATCTTCAACTGTTCTAAAAACTCAGATGCTTAACTGTGTGATTCAAGAATTAACAGGACCTGGTGTTTTGAGTTCTGTCTTTTTGTGACCCCAGTGCCATCGAGTTTTCATGTAAATTGTTTTTTTATGAAGAAAAATGGAATAGGGCTTGTGGTATGTAGTATAGAAATCTGGGGCTCAGGAACCTTGTGTTTAAAGAAGTGATAAACTTTCCCAAAAACTTTGTAGGATTTCATTTGGGATGGTTGATATGCATGTCAGACTTATGCTGAAAGAGTTAGTTTAGTTTTTATAAACAAAAACTGAAACACATGGCTTACCTTTTTAGTTGACTTCATTTTTTTGTGCGTTGCTGTTGTAAATAATTGCTTTGGTACAATATCAAAATAATACTGAACTTGGCACATATGTGCCAACTGGTAATTAATTATCTGTGGCTTCTCGGTAAGATGGGGTAGTGTATATACACATCTACAGTGCTGAATTAATGGTTGAACTTGATGATCTTAAAGGTCTTTTTCAGTCTAGCTGGTTGTATGGTGTAAGCACACACTTTTAAGAGCAGCTGGTGCTGAAACGTGACGCTGCAGTGTTTGGGTGATGACTGAGCGATTTGTCGGATACCCCTTCACCCCTCTGATGGGTGACAACAGCAAAGTCTGACAAACCTGCATGCCAAAAGCTCTAAGGTGAGGTGCCAAGCAATGGAAGAGGAATGCAACTGGGGTGACTGGCAGGTAGTTTGTGAGAGTTCTTTGGAGCTCAGCTACAACTTGACGTGCTGTTAAGAGGATGATGTATGTGTGAGGTTTATATAGGTCTGTATGGGATAGTTCTTGCTTGGAAACACTGCTTCAGAAACATTGGGGTGAAACTCCTGATGAAGGCAGCCATGGAGAAACCTGACTTTGCTCTGGCCAGGTTACATTAGGTTAAGCACAGAAAACCTATACAGCTCTCTTTGTTGTCAGGTACCCCTTTGGTATTGCTAACATTGTACCACAGTATACAAAGATCTAATTAGAATTGGGGCCCTGTCAGAACAGCTTCTTTGAACGTAAGTAAAAAAAGATTGTTCTGAAGAGCTTGTAACGACTTGACATGTAAATTCAAGCTTTTAATAATTACAGGCTTAATGTTAATTTATTGTAATCTGTGGTAAACAGGAAAAGGCAACTTGTAACTTGGTTGCTTTCTCATAGTGACACCAGTTCTTTGTGGGACCCAGTGTTTATCCAGTCACTACACCTTTTTTAACGTATTTAGTGGTATTTTTAGAAGCTTCCAGAACTGGAATAGAACCTGATGCTAAAGCTAACAATGCATGAGTAGTATGTTACATATATGGAAAACCTAAATAGTAGTAGATTGTATCAAAAGTATATTTCATATTTCAAAAGCATATGGTATCTCAAAACCAAAAATTGAAATTGGGAAGTGTTGTGTCATAATGCATGTGCTGAGTCTGTGCAGGATCTGAAGTTATATTTGTCAGTTTTCTTTTTTTTTTTAGACGCCAAGCCCATCTTTGTGTTCTGGCTTCAAACTGTGATGAACCCACGTATGTAAAATTAGTTGAAGCACTTTGTGCAGAACATCAGATCAACCTAATAAAGGTAAGTAAGTTTTGGGACTACAGACATGACTTTGGAACAGTTTTCTGGCTTGCAATATAAGCTGCTGCTTTTAGCATCTGGAGAGCTGAACTTTTGAAACATTGCTGTAACTGTATAGGGCTTTTCTAAGCAGAATTTCTCTTGGCAGTAGAGATGGTTTTAATTCTGTATGACTGCCATAGAAGCAGTACAGAAACTGTGGATATAAACGGCATAGGATGTGTATCAGGTATTTTATGAGGTTAAAATGAATTTTTGTGCCTTGTGTAGTAAGAAATAGAATTACTGCTGCTCGTAGTCTTGGAGCACGGGAGGTGTCTCAACCTGGCTTTTTCTTCAAATGCTAGCACGAGCTGTACGATGATGATACTTTGGCTCCCTCTACTGATAGCTGGTGAGGAGAGCAGCCATCCGTTACCCAACATGGCTGAGAGTACAGCGGCCTACACCTTTGCTGCACCCAGCTCTGTTAGAAATGGGCAGTTCTGACGTGCTGTCATGCTCCACCCAGGTTGACGACAACAAGAAGCTGGGTGAGTGGGTTGGTCTCTGCAAGATCGACAGAGAAGGAAAACCCCGCAAGGTGGTGGGCTGCAGCTGCGTGGTTGTCAAGGTAAGATGCCAGTCGTGGCTTTCTTTCACTTCTGAAAACAAGCAGCAAAGAGGAGGTTGCTTTAGTGAAGGGACTTAGATTTTTGTTTTTTAAATGGCTGCTTTCCATTTCTGATAGTGAAAATAAACTGCTTTCCTGTTCTACATTCCCTGTCATTTAAAATGGAACATGAGCATTTAAAATGCTGGCAGTAATTTTATGAGTTAATAGTTGTGTCCTTAAAGTGTCTGTGCCTGCTAGCCACTAAGCTCTAAGGAAAGGGCTTTTTAGCTAGAAGAGATGAAGTTTTGCTTCAGTAAAAAATGCCAGTTCAATGTATCTGCTCAACTTGAAAGTGTTTTGCAGAGCATGTTTTAAAATGACACTGGTAAAGTAAAGCCACAGTACGAGCCTTGAGGACTTTGTTGTCTTTGAGGTCCCAAAGAGATGGCTACATCTTCACCATAAAGGCTAATGCCTTCTGCATGTGCATTAATACTTTTGCTAGTGCTTCACATAGTTTACTTGGCTTGCTTTAAACAGAAGTGAAGAATTTGTTTGGATCCATACCAGTGGAATGGTTGGTCATTTATTAGAATAGTCTTTTATTACAGAGCCAAAGGGAAAGCAGCTGGCAGATGGCTTGAGGTTATGCATATGGAATTTTGGGAATATTTAGGAGTGCCTTGAGAAAATGTCAGAATCTCAGTTGACTTTTAAAAAAAAAAAAGTTGTAAAATTTGGAATGGGTCTGTATGTTATTAATGTGTCACCTTGTGTTGCAGGACTATGGCAAGGAATCTCAGGCCAAAGATGTCATCGAAGAGTACTTCAAGTGCAAGAAGTGAATGGAAAATAAATTTTGAACCTGACTAGTGTCTGTGTGATTAATGGCTGGGTATCTGTGGAATAGTTCTTTTGAGTTTCATCGTAAGATGAAAGGACTTTGCAGGTCTTGGTGAGGCTTATTACCACCACGTTAACTCTCAGCCTGCTAAAAAGCTAGTGGCAATCACTGCTGTTCCTGCTCTAGGGTGCTTCTGTTTCCTGTTCCTGCCCCAGGGTTTGCCAGCTCAGGGAACCTTGCACAGCCTCTCAGTTGCAGAAATGCTGACAGTTGATAACTGGGCTTGCTTGGCAGTGCCTAGGCCTGTACTTCTGCAGCGATTCTGAGTAACTTGTTAGAGGAAGTGAAGTGCTGCTGCATCTGTGATGAAAATTTGGCTCCCTCTGCTGAAACAAGTGAGGAGAACAGCCATAACCGTTACCCAATTCTTCTGAGATGTTGCAGCAACTTCTTAAATGCCGTCTTGATTTCTTCAGAGTACAAGGTACTTTTAGGTGTTTTGTTTACCCTCAATTCTGAAGCAAATTGTGGGTGGAATTAGCTTATAAGAAGTATGGTCATGTACTTCCGTAGGAGTTCTCAGTAGTCAAGGAGGCCAAGTAGCTGAGGTCTCACCGCTCAAACAAGGTGGTGTTGAAATCTGACTTGCTCACTGTCTGTTTCCATAGTAGTTGGATGATGTACAAAATTTATGGTTTTGTTGATTTTTTCCTGTTTGGAAACATGGGATTCAGACTGCATTTTAAGATTACCTTCTTTTCTCTCCAAGAAGTTCCTTTATGTTTTGCATTTTCTGCTGAGCAGCTCTAAGTGAAATCTTAAGGAATTGCTCCATGATGCTGATAAGTAGGACATGAATAAGAGGTTTTTTGGTGGCTGGGCAACTGCAGACTGAGGAGATGTAACCCCTTTTTTAATATTCCAAATAATTCATGTAGTGTAGAGACAGACACCTCCAGTTGTTAGCTTAGATAGACTTTCTTACACCTTTTCTTAAAGCTCTAGAAGTGTCTGTTTTAGCCTTGTCACAGCTTTCTAGTAGTGAGATCTGGGAGACTTGGATTTTTGAGAGGTTCCTGTAGTAACATTAGTGACAGTCACCTGTTCCAAGTCTGTTTAAAACCAAAAAATGTATCCTTGTGCTGAATATGTATGGGCAGTCTTGTCTGTAATCTGCAGTGAAGGAGTTAAAAGTAGCTTTTAGCATTCTAGTTAATGCCAAGCTAGTGTTGCAAATAGAATTTAACACAAATATCTGAATGTTGCCATGAATAAGAATAATTTATAAGACTATTCCTTTTTAAATGGAGTTGAAGGACAGTATCAAAAAACGTTTGTCAGTTGTTTGGCTATTAATTTTGAGTATCTGACTAGTGTACAGAAACATATCAGAGCACACTTTTTTGTCCTGTCTTCAGAAGGTGCATCTTCCAAGAGTTCTGGATAAAAACAATTATGCTATTTGTTCTTCATATTTTTAAAATGTTTGGAGTTGCATTTTAGAGGAGTAATTGTCTGGAACAGTGGTGGTGTTGGCAGTCCAGCAGGATTTATGGTTTGTTTTTCCTTGGCTGGCTGTTCCTGTCAGAATTAAATTGACAAAGGGAATGGGGATCCAAAACTGGAGCTCAGTACCTGGGTTCAATGGCCTGTGTGTTGTTGAGGTTGAAAATTCTTAGTTGAACGTGCTCCTATACCAGAACACTTTCTTACCTGTTAGGAGTAGTAAAATCCTCTGAATTCTTTACATCTCTGGATGCAGGATAACAAATGTGCAATTCAGTAAGCCCTTCCAGGGTAGTGGGTGAAGATTTTTTAAAAATATGAAATCCATGGACTTAGATTCTTAAATTTGAGGAAATCTTTGCTAAACCTGTGCAGGCAGGCAGCTTTTCCAGGTGTTTGGCTTTGGGGCTAATAGCTTTTTAATTTAATTTTTTTTTTTTAACATGATTACCTGGGAAATTGGAGAGGCATGGTCCATAATTCAGATATGCTTCACTGACTATAGAGGGAGTTCAGGCAAGTAAATCATGTGTATATATAGTTACTTTTTGGATGTATATGGTTATGTGAAATTAACTTGCTTTAAGGTCTAAAAACTATTTAATAAAATTTTGGTTGATTTAGCATGCGCAAATGATATACTTTTTTTTTTTTTTCAAACTGGCTTTGCCCTTCTAAGTAAAACTTAATTTAGCTTGAGGTCAGCTCAACATGGAATATTTGTGCTGTTGTGATTTACTTTGTGATAAACAGCCTACTAATGGTATCTTGTGATGTGAAGCACTCGTACCAATGTGCACTAGGGCCTGATGGGACTATTTTATGATGTGCCAGTGTTTGTGTGTGGGGTGGAGGTGGAAATAGGAGGGATATTGACGGAAGAAGGATGAAATACTTGTGTTGAGGTGAATTGTAATTCTGAGATTATGAACTTCAAGGGGAAGGAACTGTCACTGAAAAGGATGAGTAAAAATAAAGTTGATAACTTGTTGTTTTAATGAAGTTCTGAAGAAGTTACCTGGCTGTACTTCCCCCCACAGAGGATGTGGAAGGCTATTCACCTTATGTTGTGTATTTAATATCTGAAGTTGTTCCCTTCAGTTATTTATGGAGGTGGAGAAGCTAGATTTGAAGTAGTTAGCTGTGCTGTGGCATCACCACGGAATTTCCTGTCCAACTGTAACACTGTAGAGAAATAGGATAAGATGGATAACAAAGATGATGATCTGTGAGCACTCACAACCTACAGGAATGTTGCAGTAAGATTACATTAATTTGGCTGGGCTAGAATGGCCCAACAGCAGCAGTTTTGGAGGTAGGCGGGATGTCTGTTTCATGGACTTGGAGCTGGCACCCTGCATTTTACTTCTGGCAGGAGAACTGGAATTCCTTATAACAAGGTGTTTAGATGGGGCTTGCTTTTCTTCTTTAAAGCCATATGTGGGGAACACGCATACTGAATGTATAGTTGTCTAAGACCGAAGAATTGTTAACACATTGTGAATTTATATGTTTAGTCAAACTGTTAGTCTTAATTGTACTGTAAATAGGTCCTGAAGGAGTTTTACATGCTTTAAAACTGGAAGCAACTTGAGAAGAGTCCAGCACACTCCAGCTATTCAACTCGACAGAATATTCTACTTCATTTAACACATTTTAACGTTTTATTTTCAGTGTGAAAAAAATAACATCTTCATTATCAAAATGGTTTCTGTGTTTCACTTATATCGTAGGATATTGGAATTGCCACTTCAGCAGTAGCTGGATTACACATTTCTTAATTACTATCAAGTATGATCACATACCTCTTAGGAACTAAGGGGTTCAAGTAAGGAGAAATGTAGTCCATGAGCAAGTTGGTTAGGCAGCATTTCTTTTGCAACAGTGGAACAACACCTCAATGTAAGTTCCAAGGCTACATTGTTACATTTTTTTTTTAAATGTCACCTTATCATTTTACATGGCAATAAATATTAATACTGAGGAATGAACTCTTCTCTTGCCAAGGTCTTTTCCTTGGAACACAACCAACACTTATTAAATATTTTTGTCAGAAGGAGTTGGGTTGAGTTCTTAATTTTCTGATCAAAACACTTAGGTATCAAGTTAGGGTTTTTCCTGTAATGTTTCATTTCCTGGAATTGTCCTTACAACCCATGCAGGGTCAGCGCTGGAGAACTGATTAAGACTCAGTTTGTTTTGTACTTAGGACTATTCTTAGTTTTTGATTTATTTTAAAAAATTTCCTGAGAACTAAATTCCACCTAGACTTCCTGGTTCACCTTCATCTTTTGTGAAAGTTAATTTGGTTTTTATTCACATTTGCTGAGGAAGACAAGTGCTTGCTGGTTCTTCCTACTGGAAGACTTGACATGCTTCTCTGAGGCCTCTGCTTGGTACATTAGAGAGACCCAGTTTCTTCACACTTTATTGGTAGATGCTATTTTTGTTTTCCTGTAGATTTATTTAATTGTTGTGCGGGATTTCAGGTAAGGTTTTGGAAGAGTAGGCTTTGGATTACTCTAAATTATAGCTGTATGTAGTCATCATCCTAAAGTTATCCATTACCTGTCTCTTGAAAAGATGTGGTTGGACAGCATTAAATATGAGACTGGGAATTGGAGGCTGCAGAGTTCCAGGACTGACCCTGACTTTTCCTGTTGCCAACTGTATTTAATATCCCTTGTGGGTTTTCCTTGTGAAACAGATAATGCAGAATAATTTGCTCAATGATGCATGTTTTGTGGCATTTGGCTGGCAGAGGAAGCAGAATTAATTCTTTTCTGGACTAAAGTACCAGGTTTTTGTGGGTTTTCATGAATTGATAGTCCTTTCCAGTCCTAGTAAAGTAAAAATCTAGCAAAGTGCTTGAATGAAATGCTGGTAAGTCATTGTGAAGGTGCTAAGTGCAGATCTTTAGATAGAATTTTCTTCCCAAAACTATGACATTTAATGTTTTTTTTTTTAAAAAAAACCTTGGAACAGTTAAGCTCATTGTTTTGGAACGACCTGCGTGTCATCCTGGCTGCTAATTTATCGGGACAGTTCATTCACATCAGGATCTCCCATTGTAATAGGCTGTTCTGTTTTGCAGTAGCACAAATGTCAGGGGATTGAGGCTTGTCAGCAGCAAGTGGCTGTGCTGCGCAAGCACTTCTGTGGGCTCCAGCCTTTCCTTTGGAGAGTTGCTTGCTCTACATGCTTTGTCCAGAGGGAATTGTACCTTCCAGTCAAAGCATCAAGTGTTTTATGGAGGGTGAGCACTAGACCCACCTGAGGAAAATATATATTTGGTATTAAAACACACAGTCCTTAACACTTGCTGTAATAAGCATAAACCACCAGTATTTTCTGATTAATGTCCCTGATGTACAATTGCTTCTACTTGTTCTGTTTTCATCCTTGTTTGTACTACAGAACCTGGATATCCCAGCTGCTAGGCAGTGGCCCTCTTGTGGCCATGTTGCTGAAGCTGGTGCAAACATTGTCCCGAAAAGCACATCTCCCTTTACTGGCGACCTCATGA